GGAAACCCGGAGCGAACACATCGTTCCAACACCGTGGCAACACCTGTGCAGGCCATTCGTCCGTTTTTCTTTGTATGGCGAAAAATTGATCAACCTTCCTTTGAACACCCAAACCTTGTGTTGTGGCAGGTTTTGCCAAAGCTACATGACCGAAATGACCAAGTACATCGGACCAGACTTGGACGTGCCGTCAATGGGTTATGGAGTCGGGCTTCCCGAGGTCGGGTACTTGTACGGTCAGTACAAGCGAATCAACGATCACGTGGCCCAGCGTGGGAGGGGAGTGCTCTGGGGAGGTGAAATGCCCTATCCCGAGGCGACCGGGTACGGTGTGGTGGAATTTGCTAGGTGCATGCTGGAAGACAAGGGTGACTCGCTCAAGGGCAAAAGATGCCTAATTACGGGCTCAGGAAAGGTGGCGGTTCATGTTGCAGAGAAGCTGCTGCAGCTTGGTGCCATTCCGCTCACGTTCTCGGACTCAAGTGGACACATCTACGAACCAGAGGGTATCGACTCGGCGAAGCTCCGCACCATTGTCAAGATCAAGTCCGAGAGAGGAGCGCGGGTGGGGAGATACATCATCGCATCGACGACCGCACAGTATACCGAGCCGGCGAACATTTTCGACATCCCTTGTGACTTGGCCTTCGCATGCTCTCACCGGAACGAGATCGACGAGACAGCAGCAACACTGCTGGCTGACACCGGGTGCTCTGCTGTAGTCGAGGGAGCCTCAGCCCCGTGCACTAAGGCGGCCAAGGCGGTGTTCCGCAAGCGTGGGCTCTTGTTTGCACCTCACGTGGCTACACTGGCCGGGAGTGGCATAGTCAGCGGGCTAGCCCTCGCCACCAACCCCGTGGGAGCCAAGGAAAACATTCACGACAGGGTTGAAGAAAAAATGAAAGATATTTTCGCTGATGTCAAGGCAACAGCTACCGAATTCAACGCTCGAGGAGACTATGGAGCAGGTAAGCACGGCATTCGTGCAGGTGCTGTTACTTGTCATATTACGAAATGACCCTGTTGTATCAACTGTTGCTTTGTTCGTGATGCGCTAGACCGTCCTGTTTTGCCCCGAGCCTCGATTTCGTCGTATATCTCAAAAGTCAATTATTTCCAAGACTGTCATGAGCCCGTTCCGGTAGGATTTCGGGTGCTTTCGTTTAAGATGGAGTTTGTGCAAAATGATTGTGCGGTTCCCGTTACCGCATGTCAATGGTTCTGGGACAAGTCGGACGGTGCTTGTTTGTTGGCAGATGCGAACACGAGATGATCTTTCCTTGGCCCAGCTTCTCAACGCTGAACGTCCTTTTACACCCTCTCGTGTTCGTTTTTTGCTCGCAGGTGCTACCATCAGCGGTTTCATGAAAGTTGCCGACGTCATGTTGGCCCACGGGGCAGTCTAGGCACGTTTTGTGAGACAGCCATGTACCGCGACTAGCCGAGCGCCGGAGTTACCTTCTTTGTCCCAGGGGCCTGAAACTTCAGTTTTGTTGGATGTTCCAGAATTTCCTGAAGATGCGCGACCGAAACACTCGACTTTCTAGGGTCTACGGTAAAGGGATAAGTGCACTGGGCACATCGCACCGTTCAACGCCGAGGTGGTAATCTGAAGTTTTATTTAGGGGAAACGGAAATAGCGATCCAGAAGTAAACAACAGGTAGACATGGGGTGTGCTCAAAAGCGCCGCACACACCCTCCTAGGAATAGGACACGTCGGTCCCCGAACAGAATGCTGGGTTGTGTTGGAAGGTGTTGACTTCCCGCTGAGATGCCCAATTTGTGAGCTGTTGCCCAAGACACCAAAAAAACATTGAAGCGCAGCGCTGAGTCATATGATAAGTGGTGTTGGATCACATAGGTGTGCTGTCGAGAAATCTTACACACAAAAGGGGTGCGCAAAATTGGTTCGTGAACCAACAAGGAAGTTCACGGACGGATCTTGTGTACTAGTTCACGGATGATATCAGTGATTTTGTCTAATAGAGAAAAATCGTTTCGAGCTTGCTATACTGGTGCTGCAGTGTCCGGTGTTGAGAGTCGCCTACTCTTGTCTGGCTACATATCTCGGTTATCATAAGTTCGTTTCCTCGGTGAACGCGCGCACAATAAACGCCCACGTAGGGATTGGTTTGTTGAGTTTTCCGCTTCAGAGGAGCGTATCATGTCTCCACAGGGTTCCCCCCCGTCTGACACAGGTGAAATTGAGGAGACCTCTCATTCGATTATTAAGGTGTTCTTGGTTCTTGGTTCTTCCAATATTATCGCGTTTGTGATGATTATCCTGGGCTATTTTGCTATTTAGTTTTTTGACGTGTGTTGGCCTGTGACCGCCGAGGAAGGCATCCGCGTCAGTTGGACCACCTTCTTCTCTGGGTGGTCTGTCGTGGCAAAACCGTCCGTTGCTGCTGTGATGTGATGGTCCTGCCTTCATTTTTGTTGGTGTGTCGTCTCAGGAGGTACTGTTGTTGCGACAGGTAGATATACATCCTAGACGCGCTCATTGCATATCGTCGGATTCGAAAGATGACGTCTGGTATGCCGTATCATAGTCTTGGCGTCAGGAAAGTCCATAAATACAGCAGTTGTAAAGAACATACGAAGTCGCGAGTGCGCCCCACCCTGCCCCCCGTGCTAATTCGATTCGTCGTACTCATCTCTCTACGCGACGTGTACGCGATACCGCCGATGTCATTTATTAAACCAAGGATTTCGGAAACCCATATTTTTTCCCTGTTCGTGGCGGCAACGCCTCGTGCCAACTTACAAGGGGCAACTCGGAGAGTTCGTTGATACCTATATTTCCTCAATAATAGAGCATTGACGGACACAACATGTATCATCATGAGCAGGTCCAACACAAACACAAAATACTAAAACAAATCACGGCAGTAGGCCTTTCCGGGTCCTTAGCATGCGTCCTGTCGTTAGAACCATAACCTAGGCGGTGGTGCCTTGTGTCGAGATGTACGTGTGCATGCTCAGTAGCGACGAGTGGAAACTTCAAAAAATAATCTTGGTCAAACGAGAGCTGCACGAGAGAATGGATGCTCACGGTGGACACGTTTGTTGTTGAAGTAAGTGAGTCAGCTCGTTGCGTCCAAGCTTAATATGCTCAGTATTGCAATATTTACGCAGCTTCGATGCCGGCCGCTTCGTCTTTGGCAGGGGGCAGTCGCGATGCCCCCCCAACACTTGACGCCTTGCTTCCACTTGGGCGCTTATTCTTGCTTGCACCCTTGCTGCCACTATCCCCTCGATCCCTAAGAGTTTCGAAGGCGTAGAAAAGGGTACACATGGCGTTGCACCCAACGTCAAGATCGTGATTGATCAGCTTCCACGACTGAGATCCACATGGAAAATGTACGGGCCTTTGTCTTTACACCTACCTGCCTTTGGGTCGTTCGAGAACTTTCACACTTCAACTCCTCTCTCAGCGACTGGTTCATTCGCGAATGTTGGAATTTGTTAGGATTCTGTATTTCCTTTATTGGCACGTTTTGTTTCATTAGCTTGTGACCAGTCACGGAAGCTTCTTTGCGTCGAAGAGTACAATACAAACAAAATGAGGTGCAAAGGGAACAATGGTACAAGGATTGACGACAACACCACAACCAACAGCAGACAGGATATTCATCTCAATCCAACAGTAAATATGTTTGTCGGCATGCGAGAACCTCGGCTGATCTGGTTGTAACCCACTAGTCTGTAGTCCATGCACAAACTTTTGCCCACAACTTTTCAGTCTCTGAGCCAAGTCTTCTCGAGGGAAGGGAGGGTGCTTGTTTGGAAATTCGGACGTATCATTGAAAAGCCCGTCGGCACGCGCATGGTTTGCCTGTTGTTTTGGTTCCTTATCGTTCTCCGTTTGATGGAGAGAGAAAACATGTATATGTCTAAAGGGCAGGGGGGGGGGGGGGGGGGGGG